AGTCAGCAACTGATGACTCCGGGGCTCCCTTCTGTACGAGAATATCCTCCTCGTACTCCTCAATGATCTCCTCATACTCTTGCTCGCCCACAGGCACGAACTCTACCAACTCGTTATCTACATGCATGAAATAATGATGCAACACTTAATAATACGGCAACAACAACTCTTAAAATAAGAATACATCTAGCAAACTACTAAGCTAGCTCTACCGACTAAGACGCTAAGTTGACTATCATTTCCACTAAACTGGTATTAAACATTTTATGTATTAACTTAGCAACTAAAGGCATTCTTACTTTTAATACCAATTTACTATATATATACTAAAACAAGGAGTACTAGCTACCATATTTATCAACCTATCATAAGGCTACAAAAATTACAATGAGCACATAATAGTCTAATGAACCTACTGTAAAAATTTCATGGCTAAATCTATTACCAATTTGCCACAAAAATTCCTACAAATATTAAGCTAAATAATGCTAAGCTTTCCTAAATGAATTAATGAATCTAACATTATCACAGATAACTGTAAACTAACTACACCAACGGATAGATCACATTTTTGTGAACCTAATAAATTTTATTTCATTATTTTTGGACATCTACAGAATTTACTATAATTTTCCAAAGATCGGCTCAAAATTAAATTGGAAAAACATTTACTAATTCCCTGAAAAAAAGAAAATTGAATTTAACCCGTGTGGCCCACTACCACGCACGCGCGACCCACCGGCGTGGCCCACGCGGGCGCGGCCCAACCGCGCGGTAACAGCCCACAACGGGGAGGCCCGCACGCGCCGGCATAATTGCGAAAATGTCCTCACACTAATACCGAATCAATCCGTAGTCTATAGCACTATTCCTACAGTCTAGACTTAAGCAATCTAGCCCTCGAAACATTCTATCTTCACAGCGGCCAGACCTTTGGGCACCCGCGCGCACACCGGCGCGGCGACGACGGCACCGGGCGGTCACGCCAGCCAACCGGGCCCTTCCCCGCCCCCCTAAAGAGCCGATGCTCACCTAAATGCAAACGCGAAGCAGTGGGCGATGAAGCGATGAACGGAGACGCGGTCAAGAGCTCCCTCCACGGTGGCGGACACCCTACGGCGGCGGCGGCCATGTTCCCGTGAGCCAAGGAACAAACAAAGTGAACGAATCAAAGGATGGGCATCAGCAACTCACCCCGAAGCTACCTATGGCAGTGGCTCGACAGGGGACGGGCCGGGTGCGTCCGGCCACGCGCACACGGCAAGCTACGCGACGGACTGCAGTGGCCAACCATGTCAGCGGCGCCGGGAAGGTAGTAGTAGTGCAAGTGGGGTGCGCACGGGGTGAAGGACTGTGAGGCGGGGCTGGGGTTGCAACCAATTTGGCTCAGGATGACCAGGTGGGTAATGCCCATGGCAACGGCGGCCTAGCCTTTAATGGCGCGACGGCGGACGTCCGGCTCCAAATTGGAGCTTGCCAAGGCACGATTGGACATGGTGCAGGGTCGGTTGGCTAGCTGGCTCGAAGACGGAGCTGGGGGCGCACCGAATTGAATGGACATGACCCATCATGCTGGGTTGATGGCGTGGCCTGGCTAGCCCGACAGTAGAGGAGGGAGGGGAAAAGAAGAGGATGGGGTCCGGCTGCTTGCCTGAGCCTTGGCAGGACGCGGCGACCTCACACGTGCAATTACTGCGAGCCACCGTAGCCAAGAGAGGAACATGCATCCTTGCAGGCGAGGGCAGCACTGCAGGGCGGCCATGGCGCCATCAATGGCGAACGACACGCGAGTGGCCTCGGCAAGCCCACAGGCGCGAAGTCGAGACGGCAGCGACGCAGAGGCACAGGCAAACGTGACGCAACATGCTGTGGCGCGGCGGTGCAGCGCGGTGCAACAAGCTGGCGTGCAGCACGGTGACGGGAGGGCGGCGGCGCAGCGGCGTAGGCGGACGTGACGCAAGCGGCGTGGGCGCACGCGGGCGACCCAGCAAGCGCGACCGCGACCGGCAGCAGGGCGGTGACACGGCGAGGCAGGCAGCAGCAGACCGACCAGGGCATCAGCCCCACGATGACAGCGGCGGGGCAGAGCGGCCAGGCCCACCAGCCCCAAGCATCCCGCCGAGCGCGGCGGTGTGCGTGAGCGCGTGCGTGCTTGCGTGCGTGCATCACGTGCCTAGGCGCGACACCGGCGACGCGGAGCCTATGCGACGGTGCACGCGTACGCGCGCGATGGACGAGCCGGCGCTGCGATGCTGAGCACCGAGGCACGGTGACTGCACCCAGTCACTGAAACCGGCCAGAAACATGCCATGCACGCTTTTTAAAGCGTCCAAAAAACCTAAAACATCGAACTAATCGCCAAACCACCTATGCAATTCTTAAAAGGGCATATTAGGCTACTAAAACCCGCCATGAAACCACACCACTCCTTAACGTGATTCTTCTACACAAATTACCAAACCTAGCTGTGTCAACCCATTTTCTGACTTAAGAAATTTGACTAAGTCTTGATCGGATTCGCGTCAAATTCGATTTCCAGGCTATTAGGTATGCTAGCTAGTGAATTCATTTTTTGACCACGGGTATTTCATTGCCATCTACCAAGTTTGCACTTTAAACTTTATTCAAGTACCACATATACGTTCTATAGCATTTTCGCTTAATAAAAATTGGTTTGAAACCTTAAGTGATATTACGTGACAATGAAATGTAACCTTCATTACGCATTTCCGTTGGTCATTTTAAGTTACGGAATTTGATCTACACACTATATATTACATGCATTTACAGATACACACGATGCTCATGCAGTGTTTTAGTAAATGATTTACAGTGTAACACCGCGGGTGTTACACTCCGCGACCTTGCCGTTGAGGAACGTAGACTTAACGTCGAGGTGGTGGACGCGCCAATCCTTTGCTGCTGCCATGGCCAACAGCAAGCGAACGGACTCCATTCGCGCCACCAGAGCAAAGACTTCCTCAAAGCCGATGCCCTCATGCTGCACGAAGCCGCGCACGATGAGCCGAGCCTTGTACTTGACAATGGCGCCGCACTCATCCCGCTTCACCTTGTAGACCCACTTTAAGCCGATCGGCCTACAACCCACCAGTGGATCTACCAGCTCCCATGTGCCATTCTCCTCAATGGCCTTCATCTCTTTCAACATCGCCCGTCGCCAATTGGCGTCACGTTCAGCCACTACAAACATCGGTGGCTCCTCAGCACTAACAAGGAGCAGCTCTGGATCGTCGAGCAGCCAACTCGCCAGGCCTGTGGCCCTAACATTGCAGACGATGTTGTCTAGCCCGTGGATCCGCACCTCCTTGCCATCGTGGAAGGCATCCACAAACTCGTTGATGTTGCTTGGAGGGGAGGTGAACTCGATCGGTGGTCCCCGGCCTCCCTGTTCTGTCGGAGTGGTCGGCATCGCTGCTGGACTGCTCGGCACCACTGCCGGAGTGGTCGGCATCGCTGCTGGACCGCTCGGCACCAATGCCGGAGTGGTCGGATCCACTGCTGGAGCGGTCGACACCACTCCTAGAGTGGTTGGCTCCACTGCTGGAGCACTTGGCACTGCTGCTGAAGTGCTCGACACCCCCTCTAGAGTAGTCGGCATTGCTGCTGGACCGCTCGGCACCATCCGAGGTCGTTTACAAAATTTGAATTTTAAAATTTTGAAATTCAAACATAGTTTTACATGACAAGATGTTTTCAAATCAAAAAGTTGTCAACTACAATATTTCATAACTTTTCGAGATCTACAGAATTTATTTTGGTTGTTTTTTCATCCGAGGTCGTTTGAAAAGTTCGAATTTTAAAATTTTGAAATTCAAACGCAGTTTTGCATGACAAGATGTTTTCAAATAAAAAAGTTGCAAATTACAAAGTTTCATAACTTTTCGAGATCTACAAAGTTTATTTTAGTTGTTTGGTCATCTATTCATCCGACATGGTCGTTCTAACATTGTTCACAAATCTTATATATCTCTCTTGTAGTTTCATAAACTACAAGAGAGATATGTTAGATTTATGAACAAATTTATTTTTATTTTGTCGTATGAAGAAAAGACCAAAACAAACATTGTACATCTTGATGAGTTATACAACTTTGTAGTTGAAAACTTTTTCATTTGAATTAATTTACTGCTTCAAAATGTGCTTTGAAATTTTCTTTGTCGAGTGTAAAAAAACACTCGGCAAAGAAGCTCTTTGCCGAGTGTAAAAAAAAACACTCGGCAAAGAAGGTCTTTGCCGAGTGTCAAAAAAAACACTCGGCAAAGAGTCTCTTTGCTGAGCGTAAACTGTTATGCCGTGAGTTGTGTCTTTGCCGAGTGTCGTCTTTGGGACACTCGGCAAACACCACTCGGCAAAGAAGCTCTTTGCCGAGTGTAAAAAAAAACACTCGGCAAAGAAGCTCTTTGCCGAGTGTCAAAAAAAAACACTCGGCAAAGAGTCTCTTTGCTGAGCGTAAACTGTTATGCCGTGAGTTGTGTCTTTGCCGAGTGTCGTCTTTGGGACACTCGGCAAATACCATGTTTGCCTAGTGCCCGAAATCTTGCCCACGGCAAAGGTGGGGACACTCGGCAACTTAGGTGTTTCCGGTAGTGCAAGGTATAGAAACAACGATGTGTGATCTGTAACATGTTTCTACAGCTGTCCTCTAATCTTTCACAAGTCATAACTAATCGTTAGTTAACAGTTAAGTTTAACAAGAATCTAGTTCCCATAAGACATAAAGAATAGGGGCATTTGCCAAATTGCCACTGTTTTTTTTTTTGCAATAATACCAAACAAAAGGCATTTCTGTTGGCATGTTTGCAAATTTTTAGGGGCAAGATTGCAGTAACAATTAAAGTTGGCAAATTTACAATTACCCTAAATTCTTCCCAATCCAATAGACACCATCTTACTAAAGCAGATACGAAATGTACGGTACACATTGGTTACTAGACAAGTAAATGAATGACATTTACATTGCTTAAAGAAACTTCCTCTTACTATGCCAACACATCAAGCAATGTAAAATGTAGGGACAAATGTGGGATATGATCACAAAATAAAGGAGAAAACTTGGTATTGTGGACACTGTACCGGGAGTCAGGGTTGACACGGCTCCCAGATGACTCCGGCGCCTCTTCTGAAGCCTGAAATGACAAAGCATCTTAGGATTTTAGAATAATTGACAATATAGAAGAACCAGGAGTTGGCTGTAATTATGTGAATGAATGATGACAATGTGAGGTAGGATAAATAAAACATTTATTTGTTCTAGCTTCAAGCAAAAATGCATTTTGTTCAGGTTGGATCCTTAAACATTCAAGTAGACCTGTTGACGCAAATTAGACAAGAAGTATGTAAAAATTCATATATGGTCATATTCCTGTGCATATTAATTGATTAATAAATAAAATGTAACACTCCTATGCTTAGTTTTGCCTCAATTTACTAAGGACCAAATTTCATGCTAACTCTGTTGAGGGACACCTAATGCTTCAATCTGAGGCAAACAACCCCAAACATCTCATCTGCTGCTTGAAATGGCAACCTGAATCTCATATGAGGAATATGATGACAAACAAATCCCAACTTGACTCCTATCAGTTTTTCAAATTTTCAATAGAATCCCTTCAGTATAAGCATTCACATTAATGAAACACAGAGATTCCATTGAAGTATTTTCATAGTATAGTATAGTATAAAACCTACGGTGGGCATGTACAGCAGTACAAGGAAGTGGTCCTTGAGTCAAGGACTCACCAGCTTCAACAAGAGAAAGTCCTAAAACCGCAGGAACAATAGTGCAGACACTAAGTTATGATACAACTACTTCAACATTTATACCTGTGGTTGGGAAGGATGTGCACGGCTGTAAAGTCTAGTTATGAACTCTCTTGTGTCGATGTGGCTGACCAAAGGGTAGAGCCGGAGATATGAATCAATTCTATCTCGGATGTCACGGAACTTCTGAGCTTGAGTTCCTGCCATGAGGAAGCGATACATGGTGTTGCTCTTCTGGCAGGACACGACTAGCGTGTACGCCTGCCGGAGTGTGTCTTCCAATCCGTCCAGCGGTCTCCGGATCTCTGGGCGCTGCATTGTCTCTGACTGCTGAAGCATTTGTAGGAGATCTCCGATCATCATGACATGGTGCATGAGGTGTTGGCACTCCTCCCTGTTCCGGCGAACAGTTTGCACTGCCTGGACAATCATGGTGATGAGGCCACCAGCGTCGACTCCAGCCAGCTGTGCGACGGTGGCAGCCTGGCTGAGACCGTTCCAAAGTGCCATCGATCATGTACTCGGTGCTGCCTCCTCTATGCACCTGTGGACAAGATAAAAGCTGATGCAAGATGAGAAACAGTAGTGTGGAGATGAAACTCTTAACCTTTTTGCAACTTTTTTACCTTTATTACGTGGTCGCCGTGCTTGTAGAGAAGAGATGAAGCTACGATTCCTAAATATTGTTTTCCTCAATCAGATCAGACAGGATACAAACTGAACAGTCTACGGTATATTGCAAACAACGCTGAGAACTTACAAGCTAGAGCAGAGTAAACCACCGGCTGAAGAAGTTTGGGCACTCGCATAGTGTCCGTTTTAGCCCGATCCCCAACAGGCCGACAAATCATTGTAAAGGCAGCCACCAGGGAAACCGCGTTGATCGAAACTTCGCAGAAGATGATCGATCCGATTCCGATCGAATAAAAGGTAGGGTACATCCACCGCATGGCGTCCGTTGACCCCAAGTCCACCTAGTTTCAATCAATCAATTAAACAAATTCAGAAATGAGGGATGGGTCGGGTCAGGTTCGGTTGGGCCAAAATACCCGAAGCCTTCTGCTCGGCCCGCTCCCGACCCAGCCCGACCCGACCATCAGCCTGCAAGTTCTGACCTGAGCGAGTCCGCGGCTGCGCCGCCCCTGCGTCCCTCCACGCCGCTGCCGTCGTTCCGGCTGCCACCATCGCTCCTCCGCGCCGCTGACGGGATCTGGCGGGGCTGAGTTTGCACTTTGGTCATGGCCTGAGCCCTGAGGGGCACGGCACTGGAGGAGACAGGAGAGGGAGGTTGCTGTTCGGGTGCCGGGGGCGAGCTAGGGCGCAGCCGCAGGCTCAGCCGCAGGGCCGACGGGCGGCTGCTCGACGTTAACTGGCGACGGCCTGGCAGCTGCTTGGGAGTTGGACTTGGGAGAGAAGGGGAATGGGGCCGCCGTGCACGAGTCAACGAGTGGAGACGTGAGCATTGGAGTTCGTGGGCCACTAACCCAGGCTGCTATTGCTGTGACGCTATCTAGGCCGCACTTGGGAGCTTCCATTTTTATTACCAAAAAAATACATTTTTTGAGAATAATAAAACAACTTTAAACCTTCGTCCGAGCCCTCACTCGGTCCCTCTCCTTCCCACATGCATATTTCCTTGGTATCTCTTTCTTTCTTTTTTCTCTCTTGACCAAGGCCTAAATACTTTTTCTCTTGCTCGAGGCCTGGCCCGGCTTAGATATATGCTTTGCTGCATATTTGCTCCATTCTTTCTTCTTCTTTTTTTGAATGGCGCGGCCTTCTTTGGAGGCCTGGTGCGGAACAGGGGTTCGAACCCCCACCGGCCTTCTTTGGAGTCTTAACCGCTGGGCTATGTGCCCATCCGCATATTTGCTCCATTCTTAAAAAAAATGAAATCTCACGAAATGAAGCTACGTCAGTCAAGATAGTACACCAAAGCACTCCCTTCAAGTCACATCAAAGATATGGGGCGGGGTTCTCCACTGCGGTGCCATCTAATGAGGTAAGCGACATCTGCAGATGTCGCCATCGACCAGAGAACCTAGGTTTTTCAAATAGGGCCACGTTACACCAAAATCCAAAATTTAACACTATGCAAAAAGAAGATTTTCCGTCACATTAAATTTGCGGTATATGTATAGAGTACTAAATGTTGATGAAATTTAAAACTAATTGCACAGTTTGGTTGTACTTTGCGAGACGAACGTTTTGAGCCTAATTAGTCAACGATTGGACAATTATTACCGAATAAAAACAAAGCGACACTGTAGCTATACGTTGATGAAATCAAAAACTAATTACACAGTTTGGTTATACTTTGCGAGACAAACGTTTTGAGCCTAATTAGTCAACGATTGGACAATTATTACCGAATAAAAACAAAGCGACGAACGTTTTGAGCCTAATTAGTCAACGTTTTGAGCCTAATCAGTCAACGATTGGACAGTGTTTCAGGCGGCGCAGAGTCGGCCGAACTAAACGCGGCCTAGGATATGGGTCTAGACACCTCGTGACAAGGTCTACAACAAGGAGTCTGACCACAAAGGTGTCACCAATGCTAACATGGCAGAAAGCCAAACAGAGCTTTTGCTCGAAATTCTCGTACCCGAAACCCACACCCTGTTCTTGCAATGGCAACGAACCCACCAACGCCACCGCACGACATCATCCACCACTTGTTGTTCATGTATCTACTTCTTCTCTATTAGTATATGTTCTCGACAAATTTCTTGTCAGTTGTCCATAAAAAAAGAATTGAAATCTCACTTTCGAGACAACCCCAAATTTAATTAGATCTATACGATAGCATTAATATTTGTATCTTTAAATAAATTTATTATAAAAACATATTCCATGGATTAATCTAATGGTATTTATTACACCTCATAAATATTAATATTTTTATATACCCTAGCCAACATGTCCATGTGTTGCGATGTACGATTTGTTGCATGGTGCTCATGCCAATGGTAATATGCTAGCTGTTTTGTTAGATTTAATTGGGCTTGGCTCAACCTTAAATCAAATATGCTCCAAGGCCGATAGTAAATGCTAGATAAGACATTGACCATGTTTGTTTCTACTTATAATCGATTCAATTATATGACTGTACCGTGAGGATGTTTTAATTTTAATTCTCGATTATCGATATGCTGGTTCAAAGTTCTAAAGTGGTGGTCAGAAAAATCAACAATAATAGATGCCTTTGGTGGGATTCTCATTTTTTCAACACTAATCTGATTATAAGTAGCAGCAGCAACAAACAGGACTTAACTTACATAGGTGGTGGTTGTGTGCATCTATTGTGGGTTTAAGAAAGTTGAAGGCGAACCACATGTCCACACGCACCGTGATGCAAAATGGGCTTAGGATGGCTAGGCCATGACATGAGTCGGATGCGGCACCAATGAAGGTTTTGCAGTTCCAAACTCAAAAGCGAGAAGGACGATAGTGAGTGACGATGGATCGAGGAACAGAAGAGGAGTGAGGGACGGAGTGATGGGGAGAGTGAGAGATGGAACAAATATATTTTTGGTCTTTAATATTAGGTATATAAGATATATATCGATATAGATTAGATGGTATAATATAGATTATGTATAGATTTGTTATATAGTTTCTCTATTAGATATAGGTATTAATATAAGATTAGGCAGTACAGATATATATAAATATATAGTTCATGCATAGATTTGTTATGTATCTATATTTATATTTGTACTACCTAATCTATATTAATATCTATATCTAATAGAGAAAATACATAACAAGATTTGTTAATTAATTCCTAATGAAAAGACCAAGGTAAACAAAAAAAGGCATTTTAATTCTTTGACAAAACCTAAGATAATTATCTTATTAATTACGGAGTAGGTGAGGAAAAAGAGACCGGTCCCTTTTTCCCTTGCGCAGACGAGAACTGTACCAGGGCTCGCTCTCGTAGCTTTTTCAAGCTGTTAATGAGATATATACTCCTCTGTATATGGATGGTTGCTAATTTGCTTGAGAGCAACTAACCAGTCGCTGTAGCTGAAGGTTCATGATCTTGCTGATAACTCACACACGCACACCACACAGCGCCCTGTCGCTCTCTCGTCCTCCTATGACTATGCAGATGTGGATTATTTGAGGAACATCCTTCTTTCTCAAAATTTTCCAATCTTTTATTTTACTAGCTACTGTATATTATATGGGGCATGCATGGTGCAGTGTGTTGGATATAATATGGGCTTGGCCCATATAATATTTAATAATCAAATAAAACTCTATGATACGTAACATTAAGTGTTGTATGGTTTAATACCATACGGGATTTTGACTTAACGCTGACTCAACTTATATGGTTGGAAATTATTTATCTAAATTGAGAAGCTGATAAAAGGATAAAGGCGTGCCACACGCGCGCGCCGCCGCTACCGCCGGCCGGGCCGGGCCGTGGCGGGCGGGCGTGGCCAGTCTTTTGCCACTTAAATCCACATTATCACGGGAGTTTCGCTCCTTGATGGTGGAGGCGAACTGACTACGTCAGTTACCGTCCTTTCCGCTTCCAATCTCCTGGGATTCTCCGCTGCCTTTGTCCCTTCCCCTGTTGTAGCCATATATCCGCAGTTCTCCGTCAGTCCATACTCCGTCTTCCGCAACTGTTCCCGAGAGAATCCACATCTCCGCAGCCCTCTGTCTTCCCCGTCCCGTACCTCTACGCGCACGGAGTAGCGGGAGAGCAAATGCCTCCGGAATCCTCGTTCGCTGGTGAACCTTGCACGGGGTGCGCGGCGATTAGGTTTTTGGGGAGCGATCCGCGACTGCTCGTCCACGTACGTCTTCTTCCTAGTGGTGATCGCTCTTGGATCCCGTCCTCTTCCTGGTGATTGCCTGCGGAACATCAAGGCATCTTCTTCCTGGTGATCCGTTCGTGGGACTGCACTGCAAACATCGTCCTGCACCGACTGTGGTCCGTGACTTCGAACAACGCACTATGTCGACTAGTGCGAATAGAGCCTCCGATGCCCTCGGCATGGGACCCTCCGCTGGGTACAGTCTAATCTTTCTGATTACTGTAATCTGCACTTTTATTGTATTTATCTGTATGTCATCTCTGCATGTTGTAGCGTTCGTTAGAGATATACACATGCACATATATGCCGTCACGAACCTGCTGATGTTATTTTTCTAGATTAAACTGATAATGAAAATGCCTAAATTTCTAACAATCCAAAAACCTAATGTTAGGCAATTTTCTGTTAGTGGTTTTACTGCTGCTTTGAAGCCAAATAATTTTGATGGCAAGAATTTCATGATATGGCGTGCCAAGATGGTATTGTAGTTGACTGCGATGAACTGCTATCACGCCGCGCAGGAGAAGCCTGAACAGTTTACTCCTGAGGAGGAGCAAAAGTTCTTGTCTGCCGATAACCTGTTTCGAGGCGCTGTGATTAGTGCACTTCATTCCAAGTATAAGAAAAACTACATATCTTGCACATCAGGCAAAGAGTTATGGGATGCTTTTGAGG